AATATTAGGAATTCGGGGAAGTACACACGATTTAAGGGGTATATATACCAAGGTTTTAAATGTCGGTTATCGGGGATTTATCGGACGGTCAAAATTCTTATCGGATAGCGGAAATCGGGGATATATCGGGGATAAATAGTATTTATCGGAGTAATATACTAGCAAATAATAAACAAACATAAGCTTGAAAAATAATATAATGTTAGTCAAAATAGAATAAAATAAACTAGCAAATAATAAGATAACATCAAGAATGAAGAACCATCTACGCATCTACATAATTATTGTTTAATCATGAGATTCATAAACTAACTTACTAAGTTGATATTTAGTAGTTATGAGCCATTATCAATATCCATAAACAAACATAAGCTAATCACCAATCAACCAAGTTCCAAAAGCAACAAATAGTTCATAATTTGTAAACATTCAAAGAGCAAATCCAAAAGAAAGTAAAAGCTCCTAAATCCTACTTATCGGCCGATAAAGCCGATATTTAGAGCCTACTTATTGGCTGATAAGTACCTTTATCGCCGATAAACCTCAAAAAACGATAACCGATTAAAAATCTTACTTATCCTAGCGGAAAGCTCCCAAATCCGATAACTCGGCGATAATATCGGATTATCGGCCGATATTTAAAACCATGATATATACAAACAATCCTATTTAATTTTTAGTTATCCCCTTCCTGCTTAGTTTTCATCGAGCTTGCTCTATTGATTGTAGAACTGGAATGGCGGGTGTTCCTGGAACAGCTAGTGCTATTTTCAGTTATGTTAAAGATGTGGGGGCTAATGTCATCATGATATCTCAGGTATATTCTACTCTTTTTACTGGCTATTAGAATTTGCGTGTTACTTATTGAAACTAATATAAGGTTTTCAGGCAAGTAGTGAACATTCAATTTGCTTTGCTGTGCCTGAAAAAGAAGTGAAAGCAGTCTCTGACGCCTTAGAGTCCAGATTTCGTCAAGCTCTTGGTGCTGGAAGGCTTTCTCAGGTATGTGGTATTTTTACTTGATCCATATAAAAAGAGAAGACATTCTTGTATCTGCCGATAACGTAAGGCCAATGTTAGTAAATAAAAGTACCTCATGCAGTGAGCCGACTTCTCAAGAGTTGTTGACCTACAAATGTGTATATCATTGAGAAATAGAGAACGATAGCTCATAAAATAAATAAAGTTTTGGTTACTGGAACTGGTAGACAATGTGCACAAATGGTATCAAGATCTAAATTCACATTGAATCTTAAGATCCTTATAACAGAAGGCCTCTTTGACCTGATCAGATTTTATCGTATATAAAGTCTTAAGATCCTTATAACTGAAGGCCTCTTTGACCTGATCAGATTTTATCGTATATAATCTGTAGTTGGAACTTGCAATTCAGTTAGGTGTTGCCCTTAAATGCTGTAAAATGCTTTTCAAGTAGTGTTTTTTTTAATTTTGTTTTATATTACAACTTTCTTTTATTCATGCCATCCTTAAAAGAAGGTAAAGGCTTAGAAAGAATATCTACAAAAGAAACAAGGGAAGAAAAGAAACAAGAGTGTTAACTACTCTTGTTTGTCATAAGATAACAGTTGTGAGAGAGAATGTTGATCCTATAGGCAGTAGATCAATTATGCATACATACATACCTACTACCTGCTTTATCCATGCGTGCACATGTGCGTGTGCATGGGACGTGTGTGTTTTTGTGTTTCTGTATGTATGTATTTTTATATTTTTATATATTTAATGCTTGTCTTTAGGAAGACACATACATACACGTATTTTTATATGTCCCTGTGTCCTGTTAAAAGAGTTGTTCTGTGAGACATTTTAGGACACCTGTATTCTTGACTTTTTCCCATAGCTAGTTGCTTTTGAATCACAAAGAAATAGTTAACAAGATAATCACAAAGCAAATACCTTTTTTGTGTCTGTGTATGTGTAGTTTTTTGAACTTTTGATACAGAAATCTCATTCCCGGAACTGTTCCTTAATATTGTATTTTCACTACTATGCCTTATATTGTACTTTTGCTCCTTGCATTGCTTTGATCTTGCTTCTTGCTTCTTGCTTCCCTTTTTTAATAGCTTAACTTAATCAGGTTGAGGTCATCCATAAATGTAGTATCTTAGCTGCAGTTGGCCAGAAAATGGCAAGCACTCCTGGCGTTAGTGCTACTCTTTTTGATGCACTAGCAAAGGTATTTGCTGAGTAATATTTTACAATCAATACCTTTTAGGTGATTTTACATTTAATTGAGTAACTACCGAGAAGTTATTATATTTGAACTATTGTAACCTTTCAGGCCAACATAAACGTAAGAGCTATAGCTCAAGGTTGCAGTGAGTATAACATTACTGTTGTTCTGAAGCAAGAGGACTGTGTAAGGGCGCTAAGGGCTGCCCACTCTCGATTTTATCTCTCAAAAACAACATTAGCAATGGGCATAATTGGACCTGGTTTAATTGGAAGTACACTACTTGACCAGCTCAGGGATCAGGTACCTGAAATACAGATTTCTATACTATCATGATTACATTATGTAACCATGCAGTTGCTAATAGTATCCATCAAACATAAACTGTCAAGAGGAATTCCCTTTTCTCCTTAAGATTTTATGGTTTAGTGATTGTTTATTTGTACAAAAATTATTTATTTGTTGGTGAAAATATCTTGAAGCCTTTACTTCAACTGAATCTCAACAAATTTCCAGGTATGAGAAAAAATAGAGATAGGAGAAAGTCTTCTGATTTTCATGTAAAGTTGGGATAAGACACTTGATACGGCTTCACATTGACTGCTTTGCCCTGATTGCTACCTTTCCAATAGGAGGCAATCAACTCGCTTCCCTTTTGTCCTATTAATATCATCTGTAGTTGTATGGATCTTTAACCTGATTGCAATATGAATCCATTCCCACGTTCCAAATAGGTTCCACACCACACAATGAGTGCAGCACTATTCAACAGCAAGCAAATGCAACTTGCAACCCAACGCTGTATTAGCCCTTCATAGAAAAAAATTCAAACACCAAAACACCCAGATGAGTGTATCTATTCTAATTTGGGGGTGCAAAGTTGTACTGAAATCACATCAAAGGATTAATTTCCTCATTAAGAATTAAACAAAGAACTGGATGTCTTTTACATGTGCCCAAAATCTACTACTGGTTGTGTAAAATGCATCAACATGTGTTGCCTTTGGATCTGTGTCTACTGGTAGCCTCCGATAATTTAAAAAAAAAACATGTTTGGAAAATAAAATTGTAATCCACAGCTAACTACCTTGCGATGTTGTGCTGTCTATATTCTTAAATTGCTCAGGAACTATCACATTATTGGCAATGGTTACCATTGTCATGACATGATCCAATATTCCAGATTTTTTTATCTGCATACTTTTATATCACTGACATCATTTTGTTGTACAGTAATTCTAGGACACCAGTTACATCACCTTATATTATTGTATATTTATTATATTGTTTATAACGCTATGCATTTATGTCATCTGGTGAGATCCTTATGATGAAGGACTGAATACTTTAGATCAAAATTTCATCTTCGTTTGAGAGTTTTGTAAATCTTTGCAGGCTGCGGTTCTTAAGGAGAAATTTAACATTGACTTGCGTGTCATGGGAATTACTGGGTCAAGGACAATGATTTTGAGTGAATCGTAAGTTACTTGGTCAACTTTATGTCTTCCTTCACACTGAACTGTTCTTGTTAGCTTAGGTTGGATACTCATTTATGATATTGCTTTTGACGCATGTCTATTGGTATTCAACTATTCATGTATTTTGTTTGAGATCGTCAGCATGTTTAACCTATATTGAGTGATTATCGTTTCATCTTATGTAACTTTCATTTGGACTTCTAGGTAGGACCTTCGTTCTATTATATATTTTAAATGCTGTATTTCAAATGGCACTGGTCACTATTAAGAAGTTTCATTAATCCTCACAAAAATTATGAAATGTGCGAATGATATATCTTCAGTGAAATCTTAAAAATTATTACAAACAATAAAATTGAAATTCTAATTAATATAGACGAGAAAATGTAGAAGTGGTTTAAATTGGTCTAGCATAGAAAAACATTCACTTTCATTAGTAGAAAGAAAAGGATGTTTACTATTAGTGTTGGCCCAAAACAGAAAATTTAGAACTGGGTTGCTATCTTGTCTGGGTCACGGTTTTTTTATCTTTATCTCTATCAGATAAATGTGGGGAGGAAAAAGGGAATAGTTGACTGCTAATATGATAATATATTGGGTTTGGTTAGAAGGGTTTTCTAAGACAAAACATCTCATTATTTAGTTATACTTGGATGGGTTCTAGTAATAGAAGTAATCTAGGTTCTAGGTTCTAGGTTCTAGGTTCACGTAGAAGAGTTAGAACTCAGAAATAGTTTGAACCGCTTTGATCTATAAATTATATTCAGTGTTACCTAAATCTAATGAGTTTTTCATAATGATGAAAGATTATTTTTTTTCTCTTCGTCTTTGTTAACTTCATGGACTCTAACCTACAAAAGAACCATATGCTTCGACATGTCTGCTTTTTTTTGTCATTCATTTCCTGGATGTTGTAATGCTCTGAGATTAAGACTATTTGTAGGTAAATTTGTTGGCATATACATCATAGCCCCACAAGGGACGAAGCATTGCTTGGCATATACATCATGTTTTTTTTCTCTTCGTCTTTGTTAACTTCATGGACTCTAACCTACAAAAGAACCATATGCTTCGACATGTCTGCTTTTTTTTGTCATTCATTTCCTGGATGTTGTAATGCTCTGAGATTAAGACTATTTGTAGGTAAATTTGTTGGCATATACATCATAGCCCCACAAGGGACGAAGCATTGCTTGGCATATACATCATGTGTATTTACTCTGATATGCTGATATGTTATTTTATCTTCAACTTGATCTTTCTCCTGACTACATTTATGTTTCTTGTCATGTAAATTACGTCTAGCTATTTTAACTCTCGCTTGCTTCTTTTATTAGAGGAATTGACTTGACAAGATGGAGAGACCTTCAGAAAGAAAAGGCCGAAGAGGCAAACTTGGATAAATTTGCTCGACATGTGCACGGAAATCATTTCTTTCCCAATACAGTACTGGTTGATTGTACATCAGATTCAAATGTTGCAAATCATTATTATGATTGGTTATGCAAAGGAATTCATGTTATTACACCTAACAAAAAGGCAAATTCAGGTCCCCTTGATCGGGTAAATATTTTGTTTCTCTTGATTCTACTTTATTCTTTGCAAGATTCTTGTAGAATAATGTTAACATTCTTCGTCTTTTACTTGTTTATTAGTTATTTGGCATATTTTATCATCTTCCCCATAATATCTTACTTTCAGACATTAGTTTTGACAGCATGCTTACTGCATATTAGTGAGATTGAATTTACTAGCTAAAGATAATATTAGTGGAAATTTGTTTAGGTTCTTAGGTTCTAACTTTTTTTCCTTCCATTATTTGATGTTATACCTTGATGAAATCGGTGCCATATACCAAGGTGACATCCTTCAAGAGATGTTCTCCCATGGAAACTTTAGAAAGCTGAGGTATTGTCCCACTTTAGCCTTCCTAGATTCTTTTCCGCTTGGCTGAGTCAATCAAGGGCAGCTGAGATAAAGTTGAGAAATCTGTTCATCAACTATTGTACAAATTGCAATCAAATAGTGCAGACAGGAGAACAAATTAACCTAGTTCTCTATGTCTCATGCTCGTTTTGGTTTTATTTCCATATTTAATTCCATGTCCTCCAAGTGAAACCAACTCCAATGGAACAAGAACAGTGATGTCCTTGTCCCATTCTCAATAAAAGCTAGTTGACGGTGGAAATTTGAGTTTCTCAATCTGGCCACTTTTTTACAGTCATAAATTTCAACTATATACCTGATCACATGTTTCATGGTTTCATACAGCTGGTAGGAAGTTGGGCCTCTTGCCAACCTTAAACATAGGCTGGCAGTGAAATCACCCCAAAGCTTAAGCTTATGATTAAAGTGGTCCTTTGTGTGAGAGCACTAGGTTATATGATGTTCTGGGTTCAAAGCTCAACATTGTAAAATTTCAAACATATTTGTTTATCACCATTTGTTTCGTTTTTCCAAGCCATATTCAAAGCTGGACGCCTTTCCATGTGGTCAAAAGGCTCATGTGAGGGGAGAATGTTATGAAGTTATTAGCTTGGTATATGTTATCCCACAATCCAACAAGTTAAGCTAAAAAAGTGACTCCTTATCGGTGCTTTTATGAATCTGTTTAACTTTTACGATATATTCCCTTTTGAGATCCTTGATATCATGGTGGATATTTAGAGGAAAGGCGCTGAGAAGAAAAAGGATATATCGTATTTATTTAAATAAATGAGTCCTCGATATTCATTGTATTAATTGCAAGATTCAAGTAATAAGTATTGTCGTATAACCCGTCTTTAGAATTTAGGGAGAATTTACAAATTAAAAGAGAATGCCTTACCGGATCAGTACTGTGATGAATTGCTGTCTACTAGATATAATAATCAGAATGATTTTAGTACACATGAGACACTTTTCAGTCTTCACAGCATATGTGCAGTATCATATGCGCTTGATGCCTTTCCATATGAAGTTCATGTTTTGACTAAAGTAGTTTTCCATTTTCAAATATTTTCATTTTCAAATATTTTCATTTATAGGAATATGGAGCGAATATTTCCTGACATTTTTACGTTGGGCCAGGAACTTTAGTTTGTGTTACTCCACGATGTAGACCTTTGCGCTATATGTTTTCAATCATGCAATTACCATCCATATCCACAATACTTACTGAATATAATATTGTTTCTATCTATCAACCTTCATGTCTGATAGATTTCCTTATCTTTCTGTATAGTATCTGAAATTGAGGACACAACAGAGGAAGTCTTATACTCACTATTTCTATGAAGCAACTGTGGGTGCTGGCCTCCCCATAATAAGCACTTTGCGGGGGCTGCTCGAAACTGGTGACAAGATTTTATCTATTGAGGGCATTTTCAGGTCAGTTTTTTTATTCTTCTTGGCATTTCCTCTAATCTCTGTTTACACAAAAATCATATAAAGTTACATTTCCAAGAGAATAGTGATTCCTATTCGAACTTATAATTGGTTATTATCTGTGTAAGTACAGTGGAACTCTGAGTTATATCTTCAACAACTTTAAAGGAACTCGAACTTTTAGTGAAGTTGTTGCTGAAGCAAAAGAGGCTGGATTTACTGAACCAGATCCAAGAGACGATCTATCTGGAACTGATGTTGCCAGAAAGGTGGGTACTTGTTTTGATTTTGTTTCATAAAATATAATACTTATGATTCCGTTGAATGGACTTTCTTGCATTCATTCAATTTCAAATGATGATCATTAACTAGTATGAATTCTAAATTGAAACGATGAATTTCTGAATTTTTCATACCATGAATCTCAGTTGAAACAATTTTATGTTGAACATGTTCGTTAGGTTTGCTTTGATGCGTAGAAAACACTCTAAAGCATTTTTCCAGAATCCAGCCTTTCATAATTTAAAACCAAGAACATGAACATACAATTTCATGTTAAATATTGTGCATAAAGAATTAGGTTTCACATTTTTGCATCCTGGATCAGTGGGATTCTTCTTCGGTTCTTACTAATAGTCGACTCTTTATGACATGGCTACTTTAATAGGGAAACCTTGAAACTATAATGAGATGTGTATCCATAGATGGAATAATGTAGAAATACCTCATTCATAGGGCATCTTATAGCATGGAGATCAAGATGAAAGTTAGTTGTTAATCCAGTTATTGGACACATTGTACGAGTCAAATTGTATCATAATCGGATACAAACAAGTTCATGTTTTGAAAGTTTCATCCATCAGCTATTGACGAGTCAAATTGTATCATAATCGGATACAAACAAGTTCATGTTTTGAAAGTTTCATCCATCAGCTATTGCAAAATCAACAATAGAAGAAATGAAGTACAAACAAGTTCATGTTTTGAAAGTTTCATCCATCAGCTATTGCAAAATCAACAATAGAAGAAATGAAGTGTTATGTAATGAACTTTGATATGATACCTCTATTGACTCGCTTTTATTTGTGTGTGTGTGTGTGTGTGCATATTTAGTATTTCTTTCATTAATATTTAATGAAAAGTGTGTGTGTGTGTGTGTGTATGCATATTTAATATTGCTTTCATTAATATTTAATGAAAAATATCATATACTAGTTAGACTAATGGACTTATAATATTGCCCCAGTGACTAAAGTTTATGGGTCCACTCCTGATAGGGAGATGTTGGTTATGTAAATGTCAGTCTTTCTTTTCCATTCTTATTTTTGCTCTTGACGATGATGTTATTGTATTATGACAACTACAGGTAATTATCCTTGCGCGAGAGTCAGGTTTGAAGCTAGAGCTTTCTGATATCAAGATTGCAAATCTTGTCCCAGAGCCATTAAGAGTGAGACTAACACATAAATATGCAATTAGTTTTCTTCTGGAAAATGGAAGATTTCTCACGCTTCTTTTGGTATATTTCCAGTCAAGTTCATCTGCTGAAGAGTTCATGAGAGAACTTCCAAATTTTGATGGAGATATGTCAAAACAACAACACGATGCAGATGCTGCAGGAGAAGTGAGTTCCTTGCAACTCTATACCCGTTAATTCTCTAAGGGGTACACTCACATTATTACTGGGATATAACTTTTTGGTTACTTTAACTTGTGAGTAAATGACTATAAAAGATGTTTTTTGTCTATAATATTATTCCTGGGACATAAACCCATTCCAAAGCTGAACAAGTAAATGAAATATTGCAAGTCAGCTTTCTGGGGTTTAGCTGGAGTTTGGCAACCATTTGTCACATACAAAATCATCTAGAGTGCAAAGTTTAACATTTTTTGAAGAATAACTTTCCTAGGGCAGAATTGATGCTGGAACACATATTTTATAGATAAACTAGCTTATCCATGGACATGCTTTCAGTTTCTTATGATTTAAGAGATGAAGAGTATAATGTATTGTGCAGAATCAGATTCGTTGATGCCCAGTTCAACTCATGGGTAAATTTCACAAAACTACCATGAACTTAATGTGGGTGTTTTGCACAAACTACTGTATAGATAAAACTACCATGAAATTTTCACTAAGGGTAAGTTGTCACGTGCCTCACACATGACATGTTTTGGACAATTTTGTCCTTATTTACTTTATGTATGTCATTTTACGTTTATGAACTTCATGCATTGACAGTTATAATAATAGTTTAGAACTAAATAATTCATGTTTTTTTCCCTCCTTTTGCAGTTTTAAAGTTCATATTACTTTTCTCCTATAAAAAAGTTTATAGTAGCTTTGTAAATTTTACCTAATGCTAAACCAAACCGGCAAAAACTAATATGAAGGGTAAACCTCACAAACCTACCAAGAACTTTGGAGTGTTTGCACAAAACTAGTACCATAAGCTACTTTTATTAGAGAAAACCGCCGTGAATTTTTTTCAGAAACTATTAGGCTTGATGGTAAGTTGTCATGACACTTTTTGGACAATTTTGCTCTTATGTACTTTTATCTCTTCCATGTTACCTTTGTGAGGTATTTTGTGGTTTGGTAGATATTAATAAAGATCGATTAGACAATGTTGTTAGCAATAACTTTCAACAGTCCATGGTATTTTATGTATGCACTTTCGAAAGTTCATGACAGTTTTCTCTGATGAAAAGGTTTATGGTAGATTTTTACGAGACCCTGGTTTTGTGAAACTTACTCTTTAACAGTAAATTCATCTTGTTTCCACTCTGAACAAAGTCTTGATCAAACCGCCATTTTGTCTTTCTTCTTTAAGGTGTTGAGATACGTCGGTGCTGTTGACGTTGCCAACAAGAAAGGCATAGTTGAGCTGAGAAGATACAGTAAAGATCACCCATTTGCGCAATTATCCGGATCCGATAACATCATAGCATTCACCACCATGAGGTACAGAGATCAGCCCTTGATTGTTCGCGGGCCCGGTGCAGGTGCGGAGGTAACAGCCGGTGGAGTCTTCAGTGATATTTTGAGACTGGCTTCTTATCTCGGCGCTCCATCATAAATCTATATTTGTATTTCTAGGGGCTATTAAGTTTATTTATTTGTGTTGTTGTTTTATTAGGAATGTTGAGGGATTTGCAGCGAGAACTTTGTGTGTTTTTTTTTTGTATCGGTTAATGTCTACAATGGCAGTTTTGTTTTGAGTTTTTGTTGGAGGTTGATTCGCGTTTAACGCAGCAGAACATCAGAGCATGATCCAACCAAAGAGTCGATCCTGTTGCTTTGATGCTCCTTTTTGATCCCCACAAGGGAACAAATCTACTAAGATCAATAATGACGAGAGGCGCTAAAAAAATCTCAAGTGAGGCCTCCTGTACTGTAGCTAGAGAGGGGTGTGGCCGGAGGTGTGACCGAGAGCGTGCCCGTAGTATATTTCAATAATGACAGCTCTACTATTTTTTGCCCCCTAATTCTTGGGCAGTGAGTTGCTGAAGAGATTTTGCTGCGCTCATCTCTTTAAAGAAAAAGAGAGTCACGTGATAATCCGACAAACATCATCAAAAGCCCAAACTGGGTTCCTATTGACAGAGCAAGAACAAATTCATGTACCAAAAGGTTCAAAGGGAGGCGCACAAATTCCCATAAAGGGAGCTTCAAAAGGAAGGGAAGGGTTGGTCTTCATACAAGTCCAATCCACATACAAAGGGAGTAGAGTAGGGCACCAATGATTTCATTCACACTTTAAAGAAGAAGTTAGTGATGGGGTTACCATCAACTCACCAAAAAACCAAGGGGGCTTTTATTAGTTCTCTTTCATTATTATCCTCTTGGTAATAAGTTGTTGGTTGGGGGAGAGAATAAAGCTCTCTTGCAAGTGGATACACAAGCTCAAGGATGACATTGTATAAAGCAAAGAGTTGTTCTATAATTGTATGACAAGAGATCTAGTTGCCTACATTTTTTTTATTTTTATTTTTTGGTGCCAATTGCCAAGCTCATCCTGTCAGTTAAAATAAAACAAAATAAGAAATCCGTTCGGAATAGTTTTATAAGAAAACCTTAAATTTTCATGTTGTCTCTGCGATTTAACCGTAATTTGGGACAGTTTGGCCAAAGAAGCGTGTTTATTTAAGGTACGCAACTGATCCTTACCAAAGTCAGAATAAGGCTCCGCAACACGGAGCGTTACCAGGGGCGGAGCTGAATGGGTGCCCCTGGGTTCCTAGGACACCAGTAAAAACTGAATATCTACCAGAGAGCACATATAAAAACAACAAAAGTATAGATGGTTTAGCGGAAAAGGGTCTCAAGGAACCCAGCATGCGCGCGGATTCGAATTTTTTCAGCTTAATGATAGTTTGGTGGCTTATGTTGAGAGAGATGTATTTTCCAACATTACCGATGCATCTATAGGACACCATAGGATTAAAATCCTGACTCCGTCACTGAGCGTTACACTTATTTTTACTATGCTAATTAATAATTCTCAGAGCTCTAATTAATAATTGATCATTCCATACTTTTTCCATCATCTCACGTTAACCAACTACCCTCTACATTTTAGAAATCTTTATTATTCGTCTCCTAGACTGTGAACATTTTTTTTTTAAAAAAAATCTCTTTAGCGAAAATCATACTTCTCTTTTTACCCAAAATTCCTGATGTGCATATAATAACAATATCGCTACTAAGTCTCGCGGGTCACATGAGTAACAAACAACCAGCCGTTTACAAACCACCAGTGGAAACAAAAAAACCTAAGTTTGTTGTTTAATAAGTAGAGGCTTTTGCGTATGTACGCCTAACATCTTTAATATTTGCAATATTACCCCTCAAACATTGGTGTTCGCAATTTACCCCTCAAAACTAGCACATTGGGCATTTCCGGCACTACAACTTAAGGGTGTTGCTTCTCGAACAAGATGGATTGGGATCCTCTACTAATGTATAGTGCCTCCTAATATCTCCTAATACATCTCCACCTTTTATTGCATAGTACCTCCTCGTATTTTGTGCTTATGCCCAAAATGAAAGGTGAAGATGCATTAGAAGATATTAGGAGACACTATGCATTAGTAGAGGATCCCAATCCGAACAAGATGTGCCAAAACGTGCGATTTTTCCGTCGCACAAACTGAGATTGTCGAGTGGAAAAAGTAGAAAAGGTTATAATAATGTGGGAGAATTGAGTGATACGTTTGCAAATAAAACAATGTAGAGGACTAGTCTGCATAAACCCCTAATAAAAATGTGTTGGCAAGCTCACCCGGGTTAACAAAACTTGCGATTTTTCCGTCATGCAAACAGAAGACACCGCAATTACATCCCTGACGTCTACATGTCACCATTTTAGTGAATGGCTTCTCCTACTCTTCCTCGTCCACGTGGCAAGCATACAGAGCCCCAAACCATCTAGAACCATTTTCTCTTTTTTTTAAAAAAAAGCTAAATTAAATATAAAAAAAATAATACAAAAATTTAGCTACATTTGATGTGGGGCCAGCTTAATCTTGGCCCTGCACCTATAATAACTAACTAAATATCTGGGTGTCTATAACTAGGTGCACTAGATTTCGTTGCTTTGGTATTTGAGACAAAATAATAATTAAAAAAAAAAATTGCTTTCTTTTTCTCTTATTTGAGGAGGGGGAGTGCTTGTTTTTTTTCCTGGGTTCTTCTCTAAGCTTGGACTTAGGAACCCCCAATCATTTGAAGCTTTTACCAACCTTGATATGATTTGGGTAAACCTAAATTCCTTTCATTGGTCTCGTTTTCTTTGTTTGTTGGCAGATTATTCACCCATATTTCCTATTCTTAATTAGCATATATTATTATTATTATCATTACTATACTTGTAACTTTGTTTATTTCGTTGGGGAAAGTTTCCTCATTTGAAGGATTTGAGGCTTTTGCTGCTCCGGTCTTGTGGATTTCAGCTGTGTTCTGTTTGAAAGTTTTGTTCTTTTTAATTCCTATAAACAAAATCTCATCTTTATCATTGTTGTTCTTATTGGTTCTTTCTTGGGGTCTCCCAAATTTGTTCCTTTTTTTCTTTCAATTGGTTGTGTTTCACCTTAGCTTTTAATAATTATCTAAAATTGGAGGTGGGTTTTGATCTCTGCTTCTATTGATGATAATATATTACCTTCCATTAGTAGTTGTGGCTGATAATTTTGTTTCTATTTGTAGATTAAACATCTATTCTTGCTGAACTTGGGAACGAATTCATGCCTCTCAGTCCCAGCCACAAGAATTTCTTCTCAAATTTAATGGCCGAAGAATTCGATCCAGATTCCTCTTCAAATGGGAATGATTTGATTCATAAAGATGAGAAGGGTGATGATGTTCGACCATCAAAGCCTACCTCAGTTAATAATGGTCATAAACCTAGTCTTACTGAGAGAAGGGCAGCTAGAGCTGGGTTTAGTGCTCCAAAAATTGACACAGATCAAATTCGGGCAGCAAATTTTGCGTCGTCGAGTTCGGAGATTCATTCTCCTTATCTCACAATTCCTCCTGGTCTTAGTCCAACCACATTGTTGGATTCTCCGATTTTTCTTTCGAATGCGCTGGTATGGTTTGTATCCGTCTATGCATGATAGTACGAGTTGATTGAACAAAGGAATAATAACTAAACACAAGTACTTTGGGTAAATTAATATGTGTTTGTTAATTGAACTCTTCAGGTGAAATGTGGAGTGTCTGTTTAGAGTATTTTGGTGAAAGGGATTGAGACTGTGAAGTCATCCTGCTCTGGTTTCAAATGAATCATAATGTCAGCATGCTTGTTTGCTTATTATTTGTGCCCAATTTTCTTACAAGTAAATTACTTTTCCTGGTATTAATTGTGATGGGGATACAGATACTTCGCTGTTAGCCTTTTTTTTAATCCCTAATCCTTCATTAAATATTTGGTTTTTGAGTCCAAATTGATTCGATCGTCTGTTCATCTTTCTTTAAATTTAAACATTCAAATTGGGAGTAAGTTCCACCCTTTACCTTTTCTGTACCTACTCAACAGAGTGGATTCAGTTGACATAAGTTCAACACATCATGCGTGAGACCAAGCACAGAAACTTTTCTCTCCATGCTTTGTATGAAAACACTCGCTATAGTGTAATAATCCTTACTTGTTATTTCGTAATAAAGAATTAGAGGTAGTGGTTTAGAGTTGAAGAAGACACTAGAAGGATCGTTTAGCTTCAATTATCTATGTACTCGGAAAAGTTTGTTTTTCGTGTACAAATCATGACACATATGGCACTTATTTTTCATATACTGGATTCGTGCCTTGCATGTCAGATAATAGTTTGTTTTGACATTATAACTTCTTATGCGATGTATACAACAAGGGAAAATTTATTTTTCATGCACTTGAAAAATATAGTTTTGTGGTGCTGACCAACTCTGTATTGCTTATGGCTTTCAGGCTCAACCATCTCCAACAACAGGCACCTATTCTTTTTCACACTGTAATACTGATTCATACCCTGTGGTTCATGATCATAAAGCTAAAGACCACCCACTTGAAGGCATCAATTCTCTGGCATCCGATGTGAAATTACTTTTAGTGGAAAACCCATCATCTTTTTCTGGTGGAGGAAGCCTAGTAAGTTGTATGTTTTATTTTATATTTATTCTGCTTACATAATAGAACTTATGTTTCTTCGTTGTGTCATATGTGAATGTTTTGTAAGGTTATAAATTTATAATCCATATCAGGCATCTTAATTGAGACCTCAATCTATAGACTAAATGTTTTCTACTGATTTTACATTTATTACAATCAATATCCATACTGTTACATTTCTGCTTACGACTATGAATTGCACAGGCTTTAGATGCTTACTATTTTATATCGTATCTGCCTAACTAGCCTTAAGAACTTGCATGTGGAACCAAGGTATTGGTTAGAATAAGCAAGAGCAGATGAGGTCGAAACGCTAATGCCTCATGCCTGACGAGACTCTGAATGTCTTTTTTTCTTCCATATAATGTATAATACTCAATCAAAAGTTTTTATAAATACTTCTATGAATGTTTTATTTTCTCACTTCATCCTTTTGTTTTCTTTTGTTTTGTTTTCTTTTCTTTTTGCTGTTATATTTTATTTGTCTCTTCCTTTAACCCAGATTTCCTTTTTCATGTGGATTATATTAGTTTCAGGAAAGAAATCCATTTGCCTCTCTGATTCTGTGTTGATCGTATAAAATATGTCATATTTAGTGTACATCTTCGTTTATATTGGAATTACTTCACAGTAAATTTGCATCTAGTACCATCAACCTTCTAATGAATTTGATTCTCAGCCAGCTTCAACCTTTGATCATCACCACTCCTTAAACCTATCAGAGACAAAGCTTTCTACTGATAATCTCCCACCTAATCAAAGGCTGTCCAAGCCTACAACTACCAAAGAACATTCTCCCCCTCTCGACAACTCACAAGAAGAAGAAAAAGGAGAATCTTCTCTCGGTCTTGGTTCTATAGCAGAGGACGGATACAACTGGAGGAAGTACGGGCAGAAGCATGTGAAGGGAAGTGAGTACCCTCGAAGCTATTACAAATGCACTCATGCTAGCTGCCCAGTAAAGAAAAAAGTTGAACGAAACCACGAGGGTCAAGTCACGGAGATAATCTACAAAGGAGCTCACAACCATCCAAAACCTGCTCAAAACCGTCGTGCTGGAGTTTTATCCTCTCACCCCTATAACGAATACCAATGTGATGGGAGTGATTGGAGAAATGATGGTGGTGCCCTTGAGACCACACCACCTCCTTCAGGGATTAATGAGTTTGGTGAGAATCAAGAAGGTGGAGAGGTTTCGTCGATGCTATCTAATGAGGATGAGGAGCGAGTAGCTCATGGGGGTGCCTCTGTGGGTTGTGATGGAGAGGGAGAGGAGACAGAGTCGAAGAGAAGGTTGCTTTTCCCCTTTACTGATGAGCTTCTTGATGTGGATATGCTATGGGTTTTCTATATATCTATCCCAAATCATGCATATTTCAAAAATACCCCCAAAATATCAATATTTGCAAAATTACCCCTAAATCATCAACTTCGGAAAAAAATACCCCCCAAAATCAATAAACTGTTGACCTTGGACGTAGTGAGTAAATATTTGACTACTTTCTTGATAGGTCTACTTTGCAGGTACAAATTTGCCAAACAAAGTTAATGATATATTGATTTGTTCAGGGGGTAGTTTTTCCAAAGTTGATGATTTGGAGGGTAGTTTTGCAAATTTGCATGATTTTAGGGGTATATTGCAAAAAACCATATGCTATTTATATATAAACGAAACTGAATTGTATCCTGTGTGGGGGGTTTCAGGAAGGTTGATGCTTGTGCTATGGAAATGAGTGCAAGCTCGAGGGCGGTTCGCGAGCCAAGGGTGGTGGTTCAGACAACAAGCGAGGTTGACATTCTTGATGATGGGTATCGCTGGAGGAAGTATGGGCAGAAGGTGGTCAAAGGAAACCCAAACCCGAGGTAACTGATGGCCTACAATTCTTAAAAGGGTCAATTGCACATAACCCGTTCACCTATACCTTCAATGGCACTGAACATCTTCAACTTATATACTAGCCCTTAGCATCCCTGGATTCTCATTTTTATAAAGATAAATTGCAAGTAACACCCCTATTCTTCAATGAATTCAGTGGGGCTAAGTGCTAGTAAAGAGTTGAGGGGTGTTTAGCTCAACTGGATGTATGTATGAGAGGGGTTATGTGCAGTTTACCCGTCTTAAAATGCTCTTACTGGACTGGCACATAGGAAGAGATATTTGTTACTAATGTAATGTGATAAATACTGCTAGTGACACAAAATTGGAGTGGCAGAATCCACATAAACACTGGAGAATTCAAACCATTTACATTAGCAAGATAACCCCCTTGACTTTGGTGGATTTTGCACATAAATCCCTGAATTTCGTCATCTCACAAAACCTTGCTGAACTTTGGGGTGTCTCACAAAATCCCCTGAAGTTTAAACTTTTCCCAATGGACTTTTATTTTTTTTATAATATAACCTTCGTAGGTAGGTTGTTGACTCGGTCATCGTAGGCTATGTGACATGGACACTTCCATCGTAAATCTTTTAGTGTCGCGTGTCAAACGCACGTAGCAAACATCATACGACGTTTTTGTATATTTTAAGGATTTTTTTTATTATCTCTAGTCCATGTATATGTCTTCAGGAACATAGACTGCAAGGACTTATCTCGAGGAACCTTTAAATTCATAACATCATCGGTGTATTGTTTTCCAAGATCTGATCAATGCATTACTTACTAATACAATCTTATATTCTAACTTGTCTCTGCTTTATCGGATTTAGGCTATCTTGTAGCTGCAGGATTTGAATCTACATTGTTCTGGTATTTGAACCTTTATTTGACTTCGGATTGTTCTGATAGTATCTCTCTTCATTTATTTTTTTTTTGGTGGGTCAGTGATAGCCATCTCAAATAGACTTTCTAATCTCACTCAGAGACAGTATCAGCCAAGATTTCACTAAGGGTAAAAGGGTAATAAAAAAAATTAAGTCATGGGGGCTATCTACAATGATGAAACTACAGGAGTGAGTAGTAGTAAGTTCAAAACAATGATACTACAGAGGGTCTGTGCAACTAACTCATTCTGATACCATATAAAAGTCCCTTTCACTATATCAAAACCCAAGCATTTGGCGATAATCGAGAGTTACGGTTTTTCACACTAAACACCCTTTTTGGTGCAGGAGCTACTACAAGTGCACCAATCCAGGCTGCTCCGTCCGAAAGCACGTAGAAAGAGCGTCTCACGACCTAAAATCCGTGATCACAACCTATGAAGGCAAACACAATCATGAAGTCCCTGTCGCCAGAGGCAGTACAAATGGCTCATCAACCTCTGCAAATCCTACCTCAGCTCCTCATTCAACTCGAGCCCCAGAAAACTTCACGAGATACATTAATTCTAATTCTTCTCCTCTCGGTGCTTATTGCCTCCATAGCCAAGATCTAGTTGCACCGATGACTGCTAACTTCTCTTTTGGAGTCAGGTCCTCAAGCCTTACGGTTTCGGGATTTGGGGCTATGACTCTTCCATCGGATAACGCATTTATGGGTGAAATCAAAGAGGAACCTTCATCGGATGCTGCTTCGGTTTATTATCAGCAGCTTATGAGGAGAATGCCTTTAGGACCTCAGATGTAGATAGTGAATGGAAAGAGGGAAAAAAGTTCATTTGGTTTTGTAAGGTAGGGGAGATTCAATTTGTTTGTTTTTGTTTCTACAGATAAGTTCAGTGAGATGATTTGGTTTGTTTTGACGAAGAATTTTGGGATAGTAATAGAAGGTGAGTCAATTTTTTGTTTACTGTTGCTGGAGTTTTTCTTTTGTTAAAAATTTCTTTGTGAAGTGTTTGGTTTAGACTTTAGTGATGATGGGAATGTCATAGCACTGTTTTGCTCAGTTTCAGAAGTGAATAACTCCAGCAGTAATTGTGAAGTCGCTGAAGTAAAAGAAGTAGAGGCTACTTCCGCTACTTCCAAGCAAAAAAGTGTGTTTGGTTCTCTGAAAAACTCACTTCCAATACTTCCCTAAATGCTTATGTGGCGCCTACGTGTCATCCTTACTTCCAAAATATTTTTCCAATCCTCAATACTCAGAAGTAGCTCGGAAGTAGTTGAAATGCATATTAATTATGACATAAATAATTTTTTTATTACTATTTTCTTTATTAGTTACTTTTAACAACTTTTCATTGATAAAATTACTTCCTAATAATATTTACAAATGTTATCCAAACAAAAAAAGTAAATGAAGAGGAAGAAGTTCTACTTCCATTACTTCTAAAAATATATGAAACAAACAAAAAAAATGTTATTTCCGCTACTTCCTACTTCATATCTTTGAAAGTTACTTCTATAACCTACTTTTTACTTCTAATACTTCCATTATCCAAACGGGCCCTAAGATCTCTTGTATAAGTGCTCTTCTTTCATTATCTGTATTTGTAGAAAGTTTGATGATTTTTCAAATTAAATTAATGATCGTGAAGCTGCCTAGAGCTTGAATTTCAAAATGGCTTCCTTAATGTTGTTCGCAAGCCATATTTTGTAAATTCTAGATCACTGCAGATAGTTCACATAATGGAAGAGTACAATTTTATAGGGGAGAGAGGAAGTAATACATAAATGCAAAGCGTTTAAACACACTGAAAAAAAGTTGTATATTCTGAGAACACTCCCAAAGTATAAGATATTTAATTGAAATTTCTCTTATCAAGAAACACATTACAAATGAGACATACCCTGACTGCACAAATTTATTTACATAACGCACATACTCATGAAAACTTTTGTAACCCAACCATAATGGAAAGGATTTTATAAAGATACAGTAGCAAATCAATCAGCAACAAGAATGAGATTGTGATCAAAACCTGAAACAGCCTGAAGAACTCTCAATCCCTCCAAGCTCTCAACCAAAGCTGGCTCCTCTTCATCCATCGAACTCCCCAATCCGAGCCTCCCATTTCTTCCTGAACCCCAAGCCCACAAGTCGCCCTTTGATGTCAAAGCAAGAGAATGAACACGACCAGCTGAGACTGAAACTATGCTTTCATCCTCTAAACTTTCAATTATTGCAGGGATCTCTTCTGGGCCTCGGCGACCAAGCTGAGAGCTTTGGTTCCAACCCCATGAGAAAACTCTGGTGGAGTCTTCTGTGCTGCTGTTTGATCGAGTTTGACAAATGGAGAGGCAGTGACCGAGGCCTGTGGACAGTGAAAGAGGTTGGGAGTTGATGTTAACGGGTAGGATTTTGGATCCTTCGGTGTTTCTTCCCAGTTGACTGTAGGTGTTATCTCCACAACTTAGTAATGTGTTTTTGCCTGAAATAGATGGTAGCAAGTGAGGAAACAGGGTCGATGATCCTTCAAGGTTATGTTCAAGGTTGATAATTTCATAACTAGAAACAGAAAAAAATCTTCTTGCGCGTGTGCGCACATATTTTGCTCCTTTTTTCTGTAACTCATGTATGAGAAAAGTACAGTGATATAATATAAACTAATAGAATATCAAACTAACAATCTAGTAGTGGATTTTGATTGTACAAAAAGAATTAGTTTCAGAACAACAAAGTTGCATGTTGAAAGTAATGCTCATACTAAAGAATAAGACATCCATATACAATAAAGGAGAAAGCGGCACCTTAAAAAGCAAAGACTCATCTGGTAATTATCTGCATGCACACTTTCTTATTATATAAAGTCGAAAACTATTGCTGTCATTTCCCACCGGTAAGGTACTCTTACTTATAGCAGCCTGGAGTCTTACAAAAGAAACAATCTGACCTATAATCCTCACAATTCTGATAAAAGAGAAACCTGTTTCAAATAAAAGATGTCAAAATTATTCTATTCTCAACGTTTCCAACCATGGTCAAGACTAATCCCAAGTAATTATTTGCTTATATTCGAAGTGGCAATGTTTTAGCACCTCTTAACTTTGAATAGATAACTGAGCTTCATTTTTAATGGATCTTTAAAACTAGAGGCTGTCATGAAAACATTCATTCATATTTATTAGTTGCAAGGGTCTTTCCGATGTTAGTGCCCTAAATCCAATATTTTGAAATTAGTCCCTCAAATCATTGGAATTGCTATTAGATCTAAAGTTTATAAGTTGTTTCAAGTCAACCCCTCCAATCCAGAGTAGCAATACCAAGGTATAAGATCTGGGGAACCTCCTAATAGCAATTTCAATTATTTGAGGGACTTATTTCACAATATTAAAGATTTAAGGGGCTAATATTGGAAAACCTTTTTTGTAAATGTAACTCAGTTGCATTTGTCACTGAGAACGATCTAAAAATAAAGAATCAATTATACGAACAATCTGGTAATGGATCAGTTGTGCAGAGATTTTGTACTACAAAGTTGCTTTTATATTGAAAGTGATGCTCATGTTAAAGAAAAAAAAAGATATCTATGTAAATCTACAGTGGAACGTTGCACATTGGACGGCGGAAAAGATCTATTAAAATTTTAGACAAGGCATAACTCAATATAAGGCAAACCAGGAATACATTCAGACAATAAGAATATGAACCTCAAATGAGTTCTTCAAATGGAAATGAGGGTGGATTTAATGGTAGAGGAAAATTTGAACAAGTGGGAAAATGGCAGAAATTAGTAAATGAGATATAATTGATTCATAAGAAGCAGGCTTACAAGAAATAAATAATGAATGGTCAAGCCCACAGGCAATGTCCGAGACTCTAAGAGAACTAAATTCTTCAACAAACTGAGGCTCCCAGATTATTGGCATATTCTCCTCCTCCTTTATTTTCAGTTCAACGTGTCTCGCAGCAATTTCAAGCATAGAAGATTTGTCCAAAGACCAGTCAGCGCTTGGTACATTTTCAGATGGTTGACACAATGCCTGACCCATTTCTCCTAACCTTCCATCTTTGCAGTAACCCCATCCAAATAATTTCCCGTCCCTGGTCAGAGCCAGTGCATGACCCCATCCAAATGATACCTATTAATATATATATAAATATGATGAAATAAGCAAATACATCACAGTATTTGGTAACTAGAGAATGCATTACATGTACAGACATGGGAGACGAGACTGGCTTACATGTAGGATGTTGATGCCTTAAATGATATACCTTAGAAACCAAGCTGGTTAATCCAGATTAATACTGTTAAGTGATATAACTTAGAAACCAAGATGGCTTACATGTAGGATGTTGATGCCTTAAGTGATATAACTTAGAAAGCAAGCAGATATACCCACCCAGGCTAAATTCTTTTGACTTCTCCACCATCAGATAAACTCAGTAATTTCACTCAAAGGAAATATCTGCTAAAATTTCATGAAGCGTAGAAGAGTCAAAAAAAATTATTCAGGGCAGACATAATAAAACTACAGAGGTGGTAAGTTCAAAAGAACGATACTACGAGGGGTCCATGGGTACTTAACACACGAAAAAATTTACTTTGCAATAACTTATTTTGTAAGAAGACCTGTTTTTAATACTTCTTCCTATTCGCTCTAGAATACTAGAATACTTAAACTAATGTTCTTTACTTTTCATTTTGTTTTTTCCCTTCTAAATAGCTTAAAATTTTCAGCTGTATATAACCCATAGAAGGCAAAACACCTGCAGCAGTTCATCTACGACTCGACACCAGTGCTTGATAATTTATACGGGCTTTCTGATGCTAAAAAAGGACCAAACTATGTCTTATGATACCCATATATTGCATATATGATTTTCTTCATGAAGGCATCAGTCAGAGCTAAGGATGAAACCATCATGTTTATGAAAATTTTGGTCTGTTCAGATGTTATATCTTGATCGTAGTAGCAAACACAAATCCAAGTTTTTATGAATTACATGTGAAGAGCATCATTGGGTCGGTTACTTTAGAATGAAAGGATAAAGATGAATAAAATTACGCATATCCATGACCAGCGCATTCACAAAATTTCAGTGGAAACTAAATATTATAAAGTTCAGATTTATCTTATTTGTCAAAATAGAAGAATTCTTAAACTTTTACAAAGACAAGAATTTATCAGAATTTAGTTAGGGGCTATCTTGTATGAATTTTCCTTCTTCTTCATTCATTCCTACATCTAATAATAGTTTGCATATGGAAAAGAGAAGATTTGGTACCTTAACTATCTTGTGATCTGAGAGTGCCTCAACCTTGGAGGGTTTAATGGCTTCGATAACACCTTTACCAAGGCCAAGTTGACCTCGTTTTGATCTCCCCCATACCCACAGAGAGCCGTCGTCACCAATGGCTGACGAAACAACACCAGATGCAAATGCTGTCTGTGCAGTTACATGACCCAATCCTTCAACTCTTGTTGGTTGACCCCACGTTTCTCTGCTATTGACAAAATTACAAAAAGAACTCAGACTCATGAGATACCCAATAATCGTCAAAAATTTCCATCCTTAGATGCATGTTAGCTGAGACTTCCTTTGAACAAATAATTCAAGCATCTAAAATGTCAAATGCAACTTTCTATCGTTTATAGATAACTGGTTAATTAAGCGCTCCATGGTAGGTAAAAGTTCAAAATATATAATCCAACCTAAAATTTGATTATTTTGATTATTCAACTCTACCAAATCTCATTGCATTCCGTTGTAGGACCTCAAACAAGTGTGAATTATGATTTTGATTATTCAACTCTACCAAATCTCATTGCATTCCGTTGTAGGACCTCAAACAAGTGTGAATTATGATTTTAATCCAAGAACATTTACAAGGATCATTGCATTCCGTTGTAGGACCTCAAACAAGTGTGAATTATGATTTTAATCCAAGAACATTTACAAGGAAAAAAAAAGTAAGAATTCGCTCAAAATACGCATCAGTCATGGAAACCGAGAAATGGGTATTGCGATTAAACCCCTAAATAAAGAAATTAAGAAGTGGGTATTGAAATTAAACCCAAAACAAAGGGGAATACGAGGGAAAGGATCGACCTTGGGGAGTTGGCACCTCTCCCAAGTTGGCCCTCTACGTTTCTCCCCCATGCCCAGACCTCGCTGTCGGTCGTCACCGCAAGAGAATGGTAGTGGCTCGCTGCCACGGGCAGATTTGGGATTTTTGTGGGCTCGTAGGCGTCGAGGAGAGGAGAGGAGAGACCGAGAGCTCCATTGCTGCTGTCGCCGAAGCTGTAAACTGAAGAGGAAGAGGAGATGAATCTGATGGAGGAGAGAGAAAGGCGAAGGAGTGAAGTTCTCTTTAGGATGGGCATTAGAACTCTGAGAGAGAGAGAGAGAGAGAGGGGGGGCAGTAGTTCTAGCTAGGGGTGGAAATGAACCAAATAATTAATAAATGGTTCGATAATTGTTTGAATAACTATTCGGTCATATTCGATTCGATAGTTCATTTATCACTAAACAAATATTTTTTAGTATTCGAGTTTATTAACGAATAGAATTTAACTAGATGTATATTCGATTCGTTTGTCTATTAAATATTCGTTTAAAATTTGATCACAGTTTATTATTTGTATTATTGCACATGTGATGTCATATTAACCCACTTACCATTTCTACTTAAGTTTTATATATAGATTTTAAGACTTAAATAATCTTAAATCTGTTTTCTAATTAAAATTTTGATTTAAATATATATACATCATATATTATAAAGAAATAATTTTAATTTATAAATTTTAATACTATTTGAAAATTAAACTCTTTAGCGAAATAAATATACTTTGATATTCGATAAGTATTCGTGAATATTCATGAATATTTATCAAATACCAAGTATTCGAGTTCAAATTCGAAAAACTAGATATATGAATAATAGAGTCCGCATTCGAATTCGATAATTTTAAACAAATACAAATATGAACAACTTAGTATTCGATTCGATTCGATCATTTACCACCAAAGCTTTGAAATCGCTCATAAGTCCCTAAAATCCTAAGGGTCATGCAATTTGGTCCCCGGTGACAAAAAAGTAAAATAACATGAAATTTTTCTTTTTGCCGGCAACTTGGGGAATTAAATTTTTTTTCCCAAAAGGTTAAACAATTTAAAACTTTGAAAATTTTGTTTGTGTTATTGAATTTTTACAACATGAAAGCTACTATAAATCTTAAAGTGTGTTCGGATGGGAGGTAGGAGAAGATTGGGGAAGAGAAGTTGGCAGCACACTTTGTTTGGAAGTTTTTTTGACAGAGGTAACGGAGAGTAGAGCAAGAGAAATTTACATAAAAATATCGCTATTTTGTTGCCCCTCAAATTGGGATGTAAATCATGAAAGTGGAGCAGAATTAATCATAAAAGATGTTTGGTCATCTATCGTTACAGATCAAAGATTGATATTTGATTATGATATCATTTTTTTCCCTTCTCTTCTCTTTATTGAAGCTCTCAAGCATGATGAAATAAGCTTTTCTTTAATTTTTTTCACTAACATCAAATAAAAATATCATATTTTTCTTCACGTTCTCTATCTGCTCCTTCCCCATTTTATCTTTCATTTTTTCCCCTAGTAAACTCCTACCACAGTGCAAAGTTCGTGATAGTTAGTTGTAACAAATACCCTTTACCTTTAATTTTTGAGAAAAGTAAAATAAGTGAAACCCCTAAAGTAACATAACCATAACTCTGAAAGAATTAAAGAACAAAAATTGCTTCCACGCTTATATTTTCTCAAAACAATAGTAAATAACAAACTTATTTTGGGGTTTCTACAATTGCAAAAGCTCTCGAGAATTTAGTGTGATTTTGAAAGTTATAGGCGTTTTACTACAAAACGCTGAAAGTTCTTGGGGTTTAGCATAATTTACCCATTATAGTTTCGCATACGAGAAATTTTAAAAATAGACCTTTTTTAAAACAATATAAGCAAAATTGACCCTTTCTTGGTAATATTAGCAAAATCAACCTCCTTTTGGTCAGCTCATCACTGCAAGCCAAAAAGAAATCGATTTTGAAAAAATCAACTTCTAAATTACACGAGACTACTAATGTTGGGTAATTACAAAGCACTAATTAAGTGCTAGAATTAGACGAGACTAGTGGTCCCGTATAGTTCTGCCCTTTTATAAATATGCATGTGACCTTCTCTCTCTTCACGAGTCACCGCTACACTAATCACTCATTACTCTCTCTCCCTCTGACCCTTCCATTCCGTAAATCCCTATTCCTTGCCCCAAATTGACGAAGCAGACTTTTGCCTCGACCGCTCGCATCCAGGGTGCCTCTGGGGCTTGCCTCTGGCTTGACTGCTTGCATCGAGGCCGCCTCCAAGTCCACTAACCATCGCCGAGTCCACCAACCTCCCCTCCACATCTCACTTCCATCTCCGACTCGACCAATCTCGCCCCTCGCCTACATCTCTCACTTCCACCTCTGACTTGATCAAGGTGAAAATTTTCTATCTGTTATGCAAATTTTTTTTCTATTTGTGAAATTGATGAATGATATGTATAGATTAGGTTAGGGTTTAATTTTGATATGGTTTACTTTTAATGCATTTTATGATATTTGTGTTTAAATTTGTATATTTTATGAGTATTTTGATGAATGATATGGACAAAATTAAAGTTTGGCCATTTATTAGACAAACCACATTATTGGGATTTAATTTTCATATGGATGAATTAGGTTAGGGTTTAATTTGATGAATGATATAGATGGATTAGGTTAGGATTTAATTTGATGAATTGTATGGATGGATTAGGTGTTGGAAATATGACAGACAACAAGGCAGAATGTGCATATTATAAATATTAATCAAAATTAATTGAAATTAGAAAAGTACCTAAAATGCTTTCCAATTTCTTCAATACTCTATTTCAAAATCAGTCCTAAATAGCTTTCTCAAGAGAAAAAACCTCCAATTAAAATTCATTTGTCACCGAAGAGGAGCAATACTAAGAGATAGATTCTTAAATTTCTATTTCTTTATATTATCTTCATAAGTTTTTTCTGTGTCTTCATAAGAATACATATGAACCTTATATATAGGATTAGACTAGACTTAGAGATTTTAAATTTCAAACAATTCATAATTGTTCAAAACACTATCCATAATAATTAAAGATAGAATAGAATTATTCAAAAATATTATCCATAACAATTAATGATAGAAATAGAATTGTATTGCATATATACCTTTTTAAATAACATTAGTGAGACCAATTGGGTCTCACATCGAGATCCAATTATTAATTAAATTAATAATTTTAATTTAATAATCAAATCTCTATCCGACCAACTGTTCATAAAAGCTTTTCCATAATATATGATTAATTATTTATAAATAATATTTTACATTCAGTCCTCTCCAGTATCATTTATTTTAGGCAATTCTTTTGAGTAGGACAATTCACCTAATTGCTCGTGTCTAAATTGCAATTCACATGAACACAAATAAAAATCATTTTGAAACATCAAAATATTTTATTTTTACAAGAAAGTAAATTTTAAAAAATATTTTTTAAAACCACCTGCCGATAGTAATTTAATAACTTCATGGGAATGCATAATAAATTAACTCATCATAATGACATATTGTATCCTATCTAGATATCCATTATTTTACTAAATAAAATTTAGCAACCTAACATTTCAGATTGTATAGCGCTTGCTAAACAAGCTTAATCATCACATCAAATCATACTAAATTATCAAATCGAAAATGATAATATCATTAAGTCAAAAGGACCATGTAACAATTCAAATTCTCTATCTCTTAGGTGACTTGTCCTAGAAAATTCAAACACTGTCCGTTGCTACATACATCACAATGTTTGCTTATGACATATACCCGGAAAATCCATATTTTCGATGGTTGAGACCCACCACCACATCTCACATGTCAGTGTCATGCATAATGACATGTTATACAAAGCTATAATTTACTAGTTATAGGTTAAGCACAAATTTAAGAAATTTCTATGTTAGATCATATCGCCAAACAAGTGACCATCACAGTGCATGATCTAACAAAATAATTTCTAAGTATATATAACAATTATATAAATTATTCCCAAATTATATGTACAACAATTAAATCTATTAACATTGTAATAATATTATATAATTTGTATTGGATGTTCAAGGGCATACTATTACTATTCCAGCATTAGGTTAGGGTTGATATGAATGATATGCATTTTGATTTAGGGTTTAATTTTAATGCGTTTTATAAATTTTGTGGTTAGATTTGTATTTATTTATGAGTATTTTGATGAATTATGTGGATTGATTAGAGTTTAGTTTTAATTGGGATATGAAATTTGTGGTAAAATTTTTAAGTTTTATTTTATGAAATATGATGAATAATGTTGTTTGGCGATTGATTAGGATTTAACTAGAATTTAGGGTTTTAAATTATTTTTTATAGTTGTGAATTTGATTGCAACTATAATTGATTATTTGCATATGATAGAATATTGATTTTCAGCTTCATACTCATTATTTGCTTCTTTAATGGAGGCCTCGGTGTTGGAGTGAATTGTATGCCTATGTATGAGGGAGGTTCTATGAAAATATTTATGTTATTTAAATCATGCAATTTTGATGGAATGATAAAGGAAATACATAGAGTTACTAAAATTAATAAAGAAGAATATGCAACTAAGGCGTTCTTCAGCTATCCGATAAATGAGAATAGAACAATTGCCATAGAGATCACCGACGATGAGGAGCTGAATGACATGAAACCGTTAAACTCAGAAGCAAGTGCCAATCGAGTTGTTCATTGAGAAGTATCTAATTCTCGGATTTGCCCAAGTTTTGAAACCTCAAGGAGAGTTCTCCCGTATGTTTGACATAGAAAATAAATCGAGTGGGTTTACGACATCTCCAAGTGAAGACCCATGGGATCAATTACATCATTTAAGTGGACATTCCCTTGGTGGGATGTCAAGTATTATATTTAACGACGCTTCGGGCCACGGTACGGGTAACTTAGCAGCTGGATCAATTGTAGAAGAAGAAGCAAATCATGACTGTGAAGATATTGAAGAAGGTGGCGTGCACATTAATAGCATGCATGTGTCTACTAGAATCGACGATGACTCCTATTGGATGGACCATTTTTATGCAACAATGATTATGTAGAATCTGAAGATCCGTTGACCGACGAGTTCCAAAACGAGGACTGGATAAATACCTCCCAAGCTGAATTTGTTAATGTTAAGACAAAGTTTCAATAGCCCGAGGACTTCACTTTTAAAAAAGGATATATATTCGAGAACAACGAGGCGTTGATCTATGCAATCCGAGAATGGTCTATCAAGAATCGGGTCAAATTCAA